ATTTCCTTCGCCGTTAATTAGTGCATGAGCTGTAGGGGGGAAAAGGGAAAAATTCTCCATTGTTTTTTTTTGGGTGTTCTTTGGTTGTTTGTCTCTTTTCATAAACTTGAAAAGGTTGAAGAGATGTTCATTAAATAATTTTATGGATTACGTGCTGAATTAACTTAAAATAATTTCCTTATGTCATTTATTTCACTATGGAGAGTGCGACATGCAGCACTTAAACTAGGAGAGAATAAGTGGACAAAATTCTTTAAAGTGCAGATAAACTACCCTTTTTTTTTTTCGGATTTGAATTCAGGATGACTTTATCGTGATTTTATACACTTTTATTATTCTCTCTTCTGTAGTCCGCTATATCATGTATGAAATAAGGGCAAGGTAAAGCCAACTTGTTAGCATGCAATCAACGTTTTTAATTTTCCCATTAATTTCACCCAGAAAGGATGAGGCGGCGTTCTCTGAGTATGTATCTATTTATACGTAGAAAAAACTCCATTCACATATTTCCGTTATTCTAAAGCAAAAGTAACTATATCGCCTTTTTTTCTGTATGTCTTCGTTTATTTCATTATTATGTAGTCGATTGGAGTTAACAATATAAAGTTAACTATAATACAGAAGGGTTATATACTTTTTTTATTATTGTGGTGGTAGGAAAAGGGAGTTGATACGCCACAGTATGTGTATTAGGAAATTGGTTGAAACATAAGATGCTCATTTAAGAACTTCAATTAAAAGTGTCAAACCGCATCGGAGGTGGAAGACATAGATGGGAGGATTCCCGAGAAGTGATGTATTAGTTTTTAATAAACGCAGCATATATGTATTTATTACTACTATGACCACTATCGTCATACCTATTAGTAGACGCTCATGAATAGTTAAGTTCTGGTAGAGGTAGAATTCTTTTTTTTTTATTTTCATGTTTTTTTTTATCCTCTTATTTATATACCTCCAAAAAATCAGGAATCATGCTCCGTTTGGTGTGCTTTCGGCGAGCAAGCTACTTTGTACAGACGCCTTTCGACCATCAGCCGATTGCAATCCCTAAAGTGGTTTCGCTGTCCAAAACCGTAGATCAAATCGCCCCATCGAAGACGATTTCTCGTCGCGATGAGGTAAAGTTATTGCTCGAGCAGCTCCCAAACGCGTGCAGGGATGCAAAGGCGCAGTATCTTCTTGCACAGCGTGGGAGCCGCTACTACCGAGCGCGCTACGCCAGAGGGGCCGAATTACAGCGAAAGCAGGCCAAAATGCTGCTGGAAATGCCCGATGCGGATGCCGTAGGATGGGCAAAGGGCCGTTGTATGCCCGTACGAAATCCATTAGACCCTTGAAGGGATCCCAAACCGGATAACACACGCTCGCATTTGCTGAGGTGTCTCGCGTTATTATGACACCCGTCTTTTGTAAAAAAAAAATTCTTTCTTTATTGCCTCTTTCCTTATTCTTATCCAATTGTGGAAATATCCTGCGGCCTTGTTGTGTTTTGAGGGTGCGTTTATAATTTACAATGGCTTAACGATATTTATTGATTTATTTATTATGAATAGACACATCTATTCCAATATTCAACGCTGCCTTGTATGTCTTGTGCTATTGTCACCCCAACCAAACACCGCCTTTATTCCCAATCTGCACCCCTCGACGGCTCTCCCAAGGTTTTGTCAGAAGCCCCGCCATGCGTGGCCTCGCACGCCGTAATTCCTCACAAATAGAAGTCATAACTGCCTGAATATCGTCCGATGCGCCGTGGGGTGGTTTGGCGAGCAGGGGGCCCCGCCCTGGAGCTGATCGCCTACGACGGGAAGTCCCGCGAGGAGCAGCGCGAGCTCCTGCGCGCCCTAATCCACGACCACGCCGCGCAGACGCGCCGCAACGCCGCGGAGTCGTGCACGACGCGGCGGACCTACCCTACGGACCAGGGCTTCTACTTCCCCGCCTACCGCACCCTTTCCCTCCCCCCTACAAACGGCGAACACGGCGAAGAGCCCCGCGCGGGGATGTCGGACCGGGGGTTTTTGGATTCCCTCCGAAAAGGGGTGCTTTCGCCCTGGATCGACGCCCCCGCGCGGCGGGTCGTCGTCTTCGGCGGGAAAAGCCCGGCCTACCTCGACCGCCAGCTCGCCGCGGACGACGCGCACGTCTTTCTCGTTGTGGATCGCTCGCTACGATGGCTGGCGAACGCCGCGGCGCGGCTGCTTCCGCGCTTTCCCGAGCGCGTTTTTTTCCTCCGCGCGGAGGCGCTTTTTGCCGGCCTTCGTTTACTCCCCCGGGAGTGCGGGGATGTCGTCGTGGTGCCGATGCCCACGCCGTTTTGGGGCGAAAAGAACAGCCATCAGCGCCTCCTCACCAGCGACTTTCTTTGCGCGGCGCATCGAATTCTGCGCGAGCGCGAGGCCCCGGCAGACCCGCGGGGGGTTATTGCGTTCACCGATTGCGAGCCCTACGCGGATTTTATGATGGAGCAGCTGGAGGAAGCGAAGTTGTTGGTGCCCTGGGCCCGGAAGGACCCGGCCCAGACCTACGCGCGGTGGCTCCCACACCACGAGAACCACCCCGCGAGGGAATTCCCCCAACAGCGCTTTAAAGAGATCATCGCAATCGCGGCCTCGAAGAGCGGGAAGCCGAGCTCGCAGGTGATGGAGCTCATCGAAGGCTACGACTTCCGGCGGAAGTACTATCGCTCATTTAGCGGTGAATCGGAGGAGTAATCGTAATTTTTAAAAAAAAAGAGGAAAGGAACGCCTTTCTCTTTTTGTAGGGGTAACTATTAGTCGGCCTCCAGAGATTGTTGCTAACCATAGGCCGTGTAAGACATCGGAGGCTATATCTATCTTTATATAGACATATGGTTTATTTATCTAAGGATTATCGACAATTTCTTTGATCACAACTTTCAGGTTGTCTTAACAGTTTCTATTCTCGTGTTTCTCTTTCTTTTAAAGTTTCTTTACCAAATCCTTTCCCGTTTGAAGATTTTTTTTTTCGTTAAATCAAGCAGACAAGGGTCCGTTTTCGGTTATCCTAAAAACTGCTAAGAAAAGCAGGCACATTCCCCATATGTATCGCAAAAACGTCTGCTGTTTTATTTTCAACGATGATCTTAAATTTTTAGGTTGCGTTCGTATTGACAACGGTCAGTATCAATGTGTACAGGGTGGCATTGAAACGGAAGATATGGATAATGTTTTGGAAGCGGGGTTACGCGAGATCAAGGAGGAGATCGGCCTCTTACCGCATGATGTGCATTTCGTACAAGAGATTCAACCGCCAAACGGCGACCCTACGGTCTTCCGGTATAAAACAAAAGCACTGAAGAATAAATATAAAAATTGTATCGGGCAGGAGCAACGTATTCTCCTTTTTTACGCTCATGAAAGTGTTATTAAAAAAACCGTGGTGATCCCTCCAAAGGAACTCAAAATCAGGCGGGAGTTCAGGAGGGTGCTATGGGTTTCGATGGACGAGTTATGCGAAAAGTGCCCACCCATAAAAACTCATATTTTTAAAATGGTTAACGAACTCGCCATACCGATCGCGAAGGACTATTTAAAAATTTCAGCCAGCCATCCCCCGCCGACCTTAGCGAAGGTGTAATTTAACACACTTGATTGTAACACATTTATTTTTGTTCTTTATAGATGATCCATACAAATAAAATTGTGATCAATAGAGTAAATCATACCATAATCGAAAAAGGTGCCTTTATTTTTCTTTTTTTCCCCCTACGAATAACCTAATGTGAAGAATCGAATCCAACAAATCCCCCCCCCCCCTCTTGTTTTAGCGTTCAGAGGCGGCTAAACCGTCTGATCCCGGTCGTGGGACCGCCCTGTTAGAAAATGGCCCAATCGGCCCTAGTGCGACCTCTGACTTCACCTCGCCTCCACTTTTATTTTTTATTATTCTGCTTATCCACATTCTTAAATCCCATTCGGGCTATCCGTAGAATCACATCCTCCGGGCGATCCTTCCACGACCCTTTTGGTTTATTATTATTATCATCATTATTAGTAGTAGTAGTAGTAGTAGTGGTAGGATTGATATTATTGGTGGTAGTGTTGGTCTTAGGATTACTCCCATGGTCTCCCTGCGAGCCCTGCAGCACCAGCAGGAGGTGCACTGGCGG